AGGAAATGACAAGCTCAGATTGCCCAGCTATCTACCTTAAGTACATAACGAAAGCTAGAAATCTAGGGCAGCTTTGAAAGAGACTTTCAGACGCAGGGTTTCTTTGAGAAATGGTTGATTCTTAGAATAGGGCAGAGGAAATGCAATATGAGCCTGGAGCACATCTTGTGGTACCAGAAAACAAAGAAACACTCAAAAAAAAAAAAAAAAAGAATGTGGACACATCAAAGGGACATAGAAGTCAACTGAAAGAGTTTCAATGGTCAGGCCTCCCCTGGTGGCACAGGGGTTGAGTGCTGGGCTGCGAAGCTGCCCGCAGCCTCGGGGGTCCCACATGGTGTGCAGACCTCTCCTGCTGCCCGCTGCTCCCCTCAGCAGTGTATTGCTGCTCCCCTTAGCAGGGTATTTTGGTCCTTCTGCCTGTTCTGCTCCCCGCTCTGGCTCTGGTGAATTCTCTCACCCTCCCGTGCTTCTGACTGTACGCAGTGCTTATATAAATAAATAAATAAAATTAAAAAAAAGGTCAGTCTTAAAGCATTAACCCTTAAAAAAAAAGTTTCAATGGTCAAAGCTGGAAAAATCTTAGCAAAAACAACCAAACCTATTATTGGATTACAAGCCAAAGTATAAAATAAATATATACTTAAATGAATCATTTAATAAACAGCAAAGAGATGAATTCCAAATAATATATTTAGCTAGTCCCCTCTACAAAAATTGAAGCTTATTTCCCTCTCCTTCCCTTGGGGGTGGGCTAAACTCAGTGGCCTGCTTCCTAAGAATAGAGCAGCAAAAGGGGGAAATTTTAACATTAGAGGAGTGTGCCAATAATTCATTTACCTCATGCTGAAAGTTACCATCACCAGATATCATGTTGATATATGCAGCCCCTATAATGATGTAATGAGGACAGTTCCCATGTGTGGTGTTCTTTCACAAAACACTTAACACTCATCTAAGCATGAGAAAAAACATCAAACATATCTAGGTTTACAAAGAGTCTACAGGATATCTGACTAGTATTCATAAAGACTTTAGGTCATAACAAACAAGGAAAGACTAAGAAACTGTCAAAAAAAAAAAAAAAAAGAGGAGACTAGGGAAACATTATGACTAAATGAAATGTGGTACCCTGGCATGCCGAAAAGAGTTAACATAGCAGGCCTGAGATGCTATCCCTAGAAAGACCAGATTGTAAAGGGTGCCCTGGACTAGCATTGGGTACTTAGATTTTAGGAGTGTTTCCATTATTTGTTGAAAAGAGAAACTTATGGAGTCAAAACTTTGTACAAACAATGGTTAAATTATACATCTGCTTTCCTTCTGAGAATCTGGAAAGTTGGGGATATGTTAGGTAGAGAGTGTTAGGTGATCAATCCCAAAAAATAAAAAACCTTGGGCAGTGACTCTTTAATGAGGTTACCTGGTAGACTGTCCCGACCCGCGGGGTTCAGAGGCACGGGAAGAGAAGGGCTGAGGATTGAAATGAGGGGCTTGACGACTTGACGCTAGCGTTTACTTCTTTATTTTTCCTTTTACTACTTTTACATAACTTTCTTTTCCCTGACTTTCTTACTTCCCTGACCTTCTCTCTGCTCCTCTCGCAATAACCTCTCTCAATGACCTCTCGCAATAATCCTCACAATGACCTCTCTCGCAATAACCTCTCACAAAAACCTCTCGCAATGACCTCTCGACCTTCTCGTGGTTCTCTTCTTATATCCTGGTAGCTCCTCCCATCGTACCTCCCAGTCTCATTTGATTAACAGGAAACACCTGTGGTTTCTCAGCAGGCAAAACGGTAAAGCGAAAACTAATTAATGGCACGTGTGTTGCGCAACACGGCGCATGCTCCAGGCGGCTCCGGACAGTAGACATTTCATAAATAAATTAATATGAATAAATTAAGCATGTCCTGTGTGACTCCACTGGGGAAGAACTTTTGGAAGCTTGTGCCCCCAGATTCAGTCCATGTGCCATTTCCCTTTGCTGCATGTGTTTTGTATCCTTTCATTGTAATAAATGATAGCCATGAAGACAACGATATGCTGAGTCCAAGTGAATCACTAAAGCTGCAGGTGGTTTGTGGGACCTCTGCACACCTTGATTAGATTCTAGGAGAAAAGGACATTAATGTAATTACTGTGAAGTCCAAACAAAGTGTGGAGTTTAATTAATAGCAATGAATCAATATCAGTATCTTAGCCTTGACAAATGTGCCATTGAAGTGTAAGATGTTAACAATGGCAGAACCTGCGTGAGGAGTAAATGAGAAATCTCTTCAGTATCTTTATACATTTTTTTATGGATGTAAAGTTATTCAAAAATTAAAATTTATTAAAAAATAACACTCAAAGAAATGCTTCGAAAATTCATGAAAAATAGCAGGCCATGAGAGAGAGAGTGAGAGAGAGAGAGAGCATGCACAAGCAGAAAGGAAAGATCTTTATTTACTGTAACCAGTGGGACAGATTGAGATTTAAAAACAAAACAAAACAACAAAAATCAAGACTCAGGACCTGTTTGTGAGAGTGGTCTAACTTAAAAGATTGAATACAGGGCATCCCCTGGTGGCGCAGGCAGTTGAGCGCCACGCTGAGGCTGTCCGCAGCCTCTCCAGCGCCAGTTCGATACCTGCCGGCCTGCGAGGATCCCACATGGCACAGCACTGCTGCCCTCGCCTGCTGCTCCCCTCAGCAGTGTGTTTCATCAGTCTGCCTGTTCTGTTCTCTGCTCTGTCTCTGGTGAATCCTCTCACCCTCCCGCGCATCTGGCCTGTACCCTGGTTCCTGTATAAAATAAATAAATAAATCTTAAAGAACAAAGATTGAATACATATACCACTGTATGTGCTACACCGAAGTTAGGGCCCTGAAAGGGAAATAATGACACCCTGGGGCCTAAGATAAATATGTGTTTCAATGTTTTTTAAAAACCAGTTCCTTCACAAGGTGCAAATGTTTTTTTCTAATTTCTATCCTTATAGTATAAAATATAAACACCTGTCTGACCTATTCCATGGATACAGGTTCTTTACACTAGAGGCCCATTGTTAAAACAATGATGTAATTCTCAATGTTTAAAAAATCATTGAGAAATTGAAAAAAATTAAAAATAAAAGTTATTGGAAAATTGGAACCTCTACTAAGGACCAAACTTCAACAAATAGCTGGAGTTTATTAGCAGCTACTTTCTTTAGATACAAGCTGTTGGGTCATATAGTCATTGCTACTTTTTTTTTTTGAAGATTTATTTATACAAGAACCGAGGTACAGGGCAGATGCACGGGAGGGTGAGAGGACTCACCTGAGACAGAGTGGGGAACAGAACAGCAGACTGACTGAAATACACTGCTGAGGGGAGCAGCAGGCGGGGCAGGAGAGGTCTGCTTCCCCATGTGGGATTCTCACCGCAGGCGGAATGGAACCTGCCTGAACTGGCTGCCGACAGCCTCACAACGCGGTTGCGTTCAACCCACTGCGCCACCAGGGAGGCCCCATTGCTACGTTTTAAAATTATTTTTCTACTACATATTATTGCAGGATATTGTTTCAGATGCTGGGTCTCCATCACTGAACTAAACTGGCCATGAACTTTGTATTCTAAAGGAAGACAAAAAACATAATAAGTAAATTATTATGAGGTGATAGGAGTATGGCTGGGAAGTGTTTGCACTTTTACATTCGTTTAAATACCTGGCTGACTTCTTTTGAAATTTGAGTTCATGGCCTCTAAAATCTACCAGGATCATCACATACTATCATGTATTTTTTTTTTTTCATATTTAAAGAACAGGTTTATTAGGGAAAGGGATGGGTTTTGCTAAGAGAGGCCTGCATTGTTGCAGGCGGGCGACCTTGAGGAGAGCGGCCTCCACTGAGGGAGATCAGTGAAGCGAAGTCGCGGCATAGTACAGGTCACAGGCAGGCAGGAGGTTGCTGCCCTGCAGAGGGAAAGAGGTGGTGAAAAGAAGCACCTGCATAGTCACAGGTGGGCAGTGGGAGTGCTGCCACTATCATGTATGCTATCCACTGCCCCTATAAAACTGTCAGAAATGGAAGACAAGGAATGTATCTCATTTGTCTTCGGATTTCCAGAGCCAAGCAGTATTTACTGGGCGAGAGAACAGGATGGAAAGCAAAAAGTTAGGAGTCCCCCCACAGATGATTAATAAATTAAGCTTGTCCTGTGTGACCCCATTGGGGAAGAACTTTTGGAAGCTTGTGCCCCAGATTCAGTCCATGTGCCATTTCCCTTTGCTGCATGTGTTTTGTATCCTTTCATTGTAATAAATGAGAACCATGAAGACAACGATATGCTGAGTCCAAGTGAATCACTAAAGCTGCAGGTGGTTTGTGGAACCTCTGCACACTTTGATTAGATTCTAGGATTATTCCAGGATTAGTCCAGCCAGGTTTAGGGGCCGAGGAAGGTGCACTATTAAGCGCCAAAGGCGGAATCAAGTACTCGCAGACTCTCAAAGTCACTTGTGCGTCTAGGCTCCATCCGTTTCTAGGGCAACTGTATTGTGACAAACTCAGCCGCCGGTCCACAGCCGCTAGGGAGCAGCCTGCTGATCTCAAAGGCAGAGAATTGGTGAGAACTTGACTTTCAGAGACCATAACCCAGAGCGGAGACTCTCGGGTGATCGCGCCCCCTGTTGTGCCGCCGGCAGCACTGCAGCTTCCGGGCTTGTGGCGTCACCCAGGTCTAGGCGCGACAACTTCCGGCCCCGAAGGACCCCCCCCGCTCCGTGGCTCGCCGGGGTCCTAAAGACGGAAAGGTGGCCGCGGCGGCCGCCTGACACCTACGAGGCCCTAGAACAAGGGCTGCCGCCTCCACTCAGAGGGCTAGGGAGACTGGGGCGCTGAGAGAATTCGCTCGGCTGTCGGGACTTCACCCCGGAAGGGAGGTGGGGGCGTAGTGAAGGGGCGGGGCGCGGGCGCGAAGCTGGCCGGTCAGGCGGCAGCCGGGCAAGTGCTGTGGCGGAAGTGCGGGGACGCGAGCAGAGCGGGCGGTCTAGGAAGCAGCAGCCGCGGGTCAGCCAGCCCGGAGCAGCTGCCGAGCCACGACCAGAGCGCAGCGACGAGGGCCCGGCGCCGGCGAGATGCCTCTGTTCACCGCCAACCCCTTCGAGCAGGACGTGGGTAAGTGCTGGGTCCAGGCCATTGGCTGCTGTTTGTCAAGCCAGAAAGTGGGCGGTGGCGACTCCAGGGACCAGGAGCCAAACTGGGAGAAAAGGGGGCGGCGCCGCTCTCTTGCCACAGGGATTTTTCAGGGGGCAATTTCGACCTGTCGGCTACAGTCTGCCCCCTGCCCGCCTGAGGTTTGGGGACCTCGGAGAAGATCTTTTCCCTCGCCAGGCGAAGAAGTAGGGAAGAGCCTCGGATTCGTTGGAGATTGAACTAATTAAGCTATTGCAGAGTTGATCATACAAACTTCCTGCTACCTCTAGAACTGGTTTAAGCACCCTCTCCCCCACGCTTAGGAAATGATGCTGCCTTGGAAACCCAGCTATCCAAGGCAGCCCAACACTAAAGACCTGGACTGGCCTCCATACAATAGGAAGAACCAACTTCACCGCGTTTATATACAGACACTTCCAAATCGCAATAACAGCTCCAGCATTTATTTATAATTGTTGGAAATTTATTCTCTGTCCGTGGATGGTGCAAGTGGTACGAAATGTTCTGTATTAGAGCGTGAAAAGAAAAATCAGGATCTCAAAACAGTCTATAGGAACCATGTTATTTGCTGGGGTCCGTAAGAGATTAAAACAAAAAAAAATATATATAATTATATCATAACCCGTAGTCATCAGATATATATTTCGGTAATTCAACTTTTTCCTTGGTAGTTTAACGCTGGTGACTGGGATAAATCTAAGAAACTTAATGAGTGTCACAGACTCTGCTTTTGGAGTATCTAAGGATTTCATTCTTTGTTGCAGTGAAACCTGTACTTTTTATTACTATTGCGAAGACTTGTTCTGTTGAAAGGAGAAAAAATAGAATAAGATAAATGATTTTCATTCTTAAAAACTGTGCAACTCTTTATTCATGGGAACTCTTTCCTTGAATCCCATTGTAGTCTATTTGAAAACTTTTTAGGTAGAAGTAGGCAGAGTTGCTCTGCCTGTTTTTCTCCTCTAAGGTCCCTGTATGATTTGCTGGTTACAGTTTAGTATCACTATACTAAAAGAGGTGCTTCTGTTCATACAACAAAATACTGCTTTTTATAGATTATTTCATGGTCAATGCTGTCATCCAAAGCTTCAAGTACTTAACTTGTTTGCTCAAGTTTGACTGAAATCATTGTTCAAAGGGCAGTTTAAAAGTGAGTTTGATTGAAGTTCACCTGTAACTTTTTAGACAAATAGAATTGGTAACATTTTAGACAAGTAAATGTGAAAACTAAAAATACTAAGGAGTTCAAATTGCTCTTAAAACTTTATTATAGAAGAATAGTTACATTGTGAATTTTTCAGAACTTAAGTCTTCTTTTAATTTGAAATAATTATGCAATCGTGTCTTTATTTAACTTGAGATGTCTGTAGAAATGTTCCTTTGCATTGTCATTGTCTTCACCCCACTCCCTTTGATTCAGTCAGATTTTTATTACTACTGTTTCTTTTTTGTCATACCTTTGTTCACCTTTCATTCAACAAACATGCATTGAATGATTATCATATGTCAGACATTGTGCTAAGTTGGGGACACACAAAAACTTAATACATATGGTAAGTTCATGCCCTCAAGAATATAAGTTTAATGGTGAAGGAATATACACATAAGAAGATAATTGTAATAAGTGGTTTTAAATATAGTACTAGAAACACATGGGATGCCTTACATTACTTAAAACTGTCATCTTGAAGTGAAGACAAGGACCTCTAGGCAGACACTTTTCTCTGTAAAAGTGCTGACATTATCTTCTTTCTTTTCCCCCTTTCCTGACAGCTCTTCTACCTGCAAGAAGTAACCACCTCTTAATATATGTATGGTATGGTCATTTTGTAATGAAGGTCCTTAAAAAATTAAACTACATGAAGAGTGTCTCTGGAAATGAGTAGTTTTCCTGATATAAGAGACTCAGATGAGAAAGAGCTCCATTTCTCAGATCCTGAAAAAATACTGTAGCTGGTTAAGATGTCCAAGAAGGTACTCATAAGTCAATGGTACATGACTTGTCAAATGGAAGCAGACCCAAAACTAGGAAGTAAGGATCTTTGGCAAGTTCCTATTTTTCTTGGAGACAGGCCTACAAACCCTAGATGTAGCATCAGAGTTCTGTAAGTACTTTATTGGATGTCTCCAAATCTGAATTTGTTTCTTGTTCTGTTCAGTATATTTTCTTGGAAGCTGTGCTGAGGGAAAAAAGAGAAGATATTTACACAAACCTCTACATACCTCACCTGCCATGCTAGTCCTGAGTCTATAAAGAGAGTGTGGAGTTCCTGAGATGAAGCCTACTGGGATGGCAGTTTTTAGGAATATTTCCAAGGGGAGAGTGAAACAGGGTAGAGCCACTGAAGGAAGATCTATTGGTTTGTGTTTAAAATGCAGATGTTACTTCCTTATATTCTATAGCCATTTTTCCAGTCTCACTGTTTGGTTTCCAAGTCATGATTTGTCTGCTCTACTCTCTAATTCTAGTTCTTATTTGCATGTCTTTTTTCTCTTCATTCAGTCCATACAGTCTTGCCAGTTTCTCCTCTGCTATTTACAGTTCACTGATAGACTTGCTTTTGTCAGCATCTGTTGTATCTCTTTCCTTAAAAATATGGAAAGAGAAACTGTTGTATACCATAAACCTGAGCTCAGTTTTAGCTCTGTAAAACTTTTGACACAGAGGTGTACACTTTTATTTTAAAAGGATACTTTTCCAAGTGAAATTTGAATGGGTATATTGCTCTGTCTTTGACTTGTGTGGAAAAACTTCTCAGGTAACATGGGGTTTTTGATCGTGCCTTCCTTTTCTCTACGGAAATTTTACAAGAAACCCTGATATAAAGACAGGTATGTTAGTACTCTAATAATGTAAGTTTACTTTGTAAATTCAAATTTACAACATTTACATAATTATTAAGTCAGCTGCAACACACTGAGTTTATTATATTCCATATAAAACTTAAAATAAAAAACATTTTTTGGCTATGGATGAAAGTATCTTAAACATTTTTTCCCTGTTACTTATTTTGCTTCATGGTACCAAAAATCCTCATGCCTTCAGATAGATACAAATTTTAATTGATGTATTTTAGTATAAAATGTATAATATAAAATGCATAATATAACATAAATCCTATTTCTACCACCTATGTCAAGTCCTACTATTTTGCCATATTTTAATCTGTTTTTAAAGAGAACATTCAATATACAGTTGAAATTCTCTGGCTCAGGAACTACCTGAGCCTATTCTTTTCCCTCCCTTCTCAGAGTTAAACACTGTCCAAAATGATACAGACAGTATTTGTACTATATATACTATACATACAAATATACTATTGTTTTGTATGTTTTTAAACTTCATGAAAATAGTATCACATGCAACTTGTTATTCAGCATTTTTTGTTAGCATAATTTATGGTGTTATTTGTAGCTCTAGTTCATTAATTTTAACAACTATGTAACACTCCTTTCTATGAAAATACCACATTATTTATCCATTCATCTATTAATGGAAAGGAAGTTTCCAGTTTTTTGCTATTCCCAACAGCACTGCAGTGAAAGTTCTGTTCTGTGTTTCAACCTGAGCAAGAATCTCTAGTGAGTGTATTTTGAAGGGGACTTCCTTATTAAATGTGTAAATAGTGCAGAGTTGCAAAATATTAGATAGTGTAGAATTGCCCTTCTAGCTGTTTGTGGGAGATTTTACTCCCATTAACAGGGGAAGTAAAATGTCTTTGTTACACATCCTCACTAACACTGGGTATTGCCTGATTTTAACTTTACGCCAGTTCGATGGGCATGAAATAGTATTGTTTTCATCTCATTTCATTTCAGCTTCATTGCTAGTGAAGTTAAGCATCTTTAATATATTTCTTCTTCATTCTGTTTTCTTTTTCTATAAATTGCCTGCTTGTTAGTCTTTCTTATTCTATTAGATTATTAGATTATTCTATTATTCTATTAGATTATTAAATCTTATTCTATTAGATTATTTTTTCTTGCTGATTTTTGGAGTTATGTATATATTTTCTATTAATCTTTCATTATGTGAATTGCAAACATGTACACCAGTTTGTTTCTTCTGTTTCTGAATGTTTTATTTCTAAGAAGATTAAATTTCAGTTTAGTGATACTGTCTCTTTCCCTTGATTTTATTGTTCTTGTTTCAGAAAGACTTCTTTACTCTGACATTATAAGGATCTTCTTGTATTTTCTCCTGAAAGTTTTATTCAAGTTTTTATTTTCACAGTTAGGTCTGTAATCCATCTGGGCTTGATTTTTTTGTGAAAGGTTTGCAGAGTGATTTGATTGAAAATTAATTGACAGTAGCTGATCAGTTGTCTACTCAATACTGATCGAATGGTCTGTCCTTTCCCCACTGTTTCGGAATGACCTTTCCTTCATGTAGTACATTCCTTATTGTACAAGGCCCGTGTCTGTGCTTTCTGTTCTCCTCTATGTAGGTAGTAGGAAAAGTTCCCTGCCTTGTTTTTCTTCATTTTGATAGTCTTAGTATTTCGACCTTTGTTTTTTCATACAAGTTTATGATCAGATTGGTTAAAACCTGAGAGGGATTTTTTTTAGGCTCTTTCAGGATTTAAGTGAAAGGACATTTTACTTTATATATATATATATATTTTATGTCTTTTTTTTTTTTTTTTAAAGATTTATTTATTTATTTATGCCAGCACTGGGTATAGTCAGAAGCGCGGGAGGGCAAGAGAATCCACCAGAGCCAGAGCAGGGAGCAGAGCAGGCAGAAGGACACTGCTGAGGGGAGCAGCGGGCGGCAGGAGAGGTCTGTGCGCTATGTGGGTCCCTCCTCTGGTGGCCGGAGAGCAGCCGGGGATCGAACCGGCACTGCAGAGACTGTGGGCAGCTTCGCAACCCAGCGCTCAACCGCTGCACCACCGGGGAGGCCCTATAATTTATATTTTTGTTGCATATCATATGTTGATAATTAAAAATACACTTTT